CATCCCAGGGCACGTGGCCCCCCATAGGGTCACGTTGCATAAGCCCCGAACGGGGCAGCGCCTCGTGGAGGATGCCGGAGATCTCCCAGCCATTTTGCTGCCTGCTCGCCCGCCCCCAGCCCAGCCATCTTGAGGGAGAACTGAGGGGGGGGGATTGGGGGGCTCGGAACGGGGTACGGAGGTACCGGGCATGGGAATAAGTGGGGATGGGGGGTAAGAAGGCAGAGGGGTACCCCTGGGGGGTTTGGGGCGTGGGAAGACTGCTGGGTGCTGGGGATGGGAATGTGTCGGGATACGGATACCCTAAAGGTGAGGAGATCTCGAAAGTAGGAGACCCCAAAGTCGGGGATGCTCCGGGATGAGGATAACGTGGGAACGGCGACGCGCTGCCCCCAGGCCGGTCCCCTCCGGGCAGTACACGCATCGTACCGGCTCAGGAGGTGCCCCGCGTCCCCTGCAGCCCCCCCCATAGCCGCGAACCCCTCTGCCCGAATTCCTCTCCCCATTCCGGGAGCCCCGCGGTACGGATCGCACCGCACACAGCCGCCGTCGGGGCGGCCGCTCCCTCCGTCGGTCCCTCCCGGCTGTGCCCCGTAGTCCACCCCGGACCCGGATCCCAGTTCCCTGTTCCCGGTTCCCCTCTTACCGTGCGGGACCGGTGACGACGGGCACGGAACTGCGAGCTGAGAGCTCCGGCCCCGCGGTAAATGGGGCTGCGATGCCGCAGAGCTACGTGACCGGCGGGGCGGGCCCGGCGGGCGGCACCCGGTAGGACCGGCCCCCCCCCCCCCCCCCCCCCCCCCCCCCCCCCGCACAGCCCCGCCCCGCCGCAGCGGTGGCACTTCTCTCCCCCCCCCCGCCCCCAAAGCGTGTGTCCCCCTCCCACGTGTTGCTCTCGGGGTCCCCGAAGCGATCGGTTATGACTGAAGACCCCCCTGTGCCGCCCCGCTTTGCCGTCGGGGATCCCCCTTCCCACCGGGATGGGGAGGCAGCAGTGCCACCGCCGTGTCACTTCCTCATGTGTTCGGGGAAGTGACAAAGCATATCACCCGCGGGACAGGGCCCCACTGTCACACCCTGCTGCTGTAAGGGACCCTTCCCCCCAAGGCAAAGACCCCCTTCTGGCATTCATACCACGGATGGGACACCCAGAGACCCCCCCGTTGCCATTGTGGGGCACACCTGAGCCACTCTCTACCACTATTAGGGATCCTGCTGTGGACCCCCCCCCAGCACAGGGACCTTTTGTGCCACTCACACCATGGGATGGGAGCCCCACACCACCCCCTTACCACGGATGTGCCACTCTATTGCCACTCTGCAGCTATAAGTGGTGCTGAGACCCCTCTGCCCCCTACCCATAAGGCAAAGACCCCCCCGTGCCACTCACCCCATGGGATGGGAGCCCCCACACCACCCCCTTGCCACTCCTAAGGGACCCCCCTGTGCCACCCACATCCTCATGCAAGGACCCCCCGTACTCCCCCAGTCCCACAGAGCCTCAGCACAGCACGGGAGCCCCGCACAGAGCAGCCCCCGCCCCTCAGGTCCCAGCAGAGCCGCCCCAAACCGGCACAGGGACAATAGCAATGTCCCCACTCGCCCCACGGGATGGCTGCCAGGGCTGAGTGCTGCTGAATCCCCGCCGTAAAAGGAGGGCTCAGCACTGGTGTGGCCCTAATCCAGAGCAGGCAGCGCATGCTCCCCCCTCCCTGCCCTCCCCCATCATCATCATCATCATCATCATCCCGAAGCTGGGCACACCCCACCCCATAGATCCATGGGTCACATCCACTCCCACAGCAGCAGGGTCACAGCCGCTGCAGTGCCACCCACACAGGCAGTAAATACAGGCGTGGGTCAATGAGGGCAAAGGAAGGTGACCCCAAGTGCCTGCAGGACGTGAAAAATCAGAGCGCTGCACTTGTTGGAGTGCTGCTATTTTGGGCTGCGGGGGGGGAGGAGGGGCACAGGGAGCATCTCTGGGGTTGGGAATGGCAGATCCTGTGGGAGATGCTCGATGTAGGGAAAGAGGAAGCCTTATGGGATTTCCACCCCCCCCTCCTCCCCCCGAGGAGTTAGACATCTCCATGCAACAGGTCGGGGGGGGGGGGCAGGATGCAGCCTCCCATCCCCTCTCTGTACGTCCCAAAGCAGGAGGGAGGGGGGGGAAATCTAGGCCAGGAGGAGGAGCGGGGGCCCTGGGGAGGGAAGCTGGGTCAGACGGGGTGGGAGCTTTGGGAACACGGAGCCTTATTGAGAGCAGCACCAGGGGGGAAGCACAGCTCCAGGGGGTGGGGGAGGCAGGGGGTGTCCCCAGGCAGGGTGAATGTCAACACAAACTTTATTCAATAAATAACGCCGGTGTTAAGAATGGCAACGTTTCACACTGTGGGTTACAGCAGAGCTGGAGATTTATCACTGTTTGGCTTCAACCCCAGATGCTGCAGGAGGGCACTGAGCTCTGGGGGCACCTCGGGGATGGACAGCAGGACCTGGGAACAGGAACAGGGTTAGGAGATTTGAGGTGCTGTTGCAGCTCCCAGAGGGATGGGAGCAAAGCTGCCGGGACCACCTCACCTCCTTCACTTTCTCCTGCAGCTCCTCATGGCTCCGCAGCATCTTCTGTGCGTGGCTGAGCCTCAGCTCCAACCCTCGCACCTGCAATGGGGTGAGGCCATAAGGACACAGCCCTAAGGATAGGGAGCACCAGAGCGTCCCCCCCTACCCCATACCTGCTCCAGGTAATTCCCTGACACCACCACATTCTCATCCTCCTTCTCCAGCAGCAGCAAGCGCAGCTTATCCACCTGCAAGTGCAGCAAGGATGGGTGCCCTGCACTCCTACCTCCACCAAGGGGCTGCAGGAGGACCTGGCCCCATAACCCTGACCTCCACACCCACCTCCTGCCGCAGCAGGACGCGCTCCTGCACGTGGGCTGAGACCCCCTTGGCCTCCTGTCCTCTCATCTCCTCCCACAGCACCTTGGCTTCGGTCTCTGCACGCTGCAGCGAGCGCTTCAGCTGGGTCACCTCCTCCTTCAGCCTCTGCAAAGGGAGCCAGCAGGGCAGTGAGGGGGGTCCCGTTGCTGTTGCCCCCCCCCCCCCACCAGGGTGTGGGTCACCACCCTGCTGCAGCCCTGCACGCACCATCACCTCCCCGCTCTTGTCAATGAGTTGCAGCACCTTCGCTTCCTGCTGTTTCACAACGTCCTGCAGCTCCTTCTCGTCCTGCAGGGTCAGAGAGTGGGGTCAGGCTGTGCCCCCCCCACACACCCCAATGGTACCCTCGCATTTGAGGTCACCCAGATCCTACTGACCCAGATCCCAGCCCAACCCAGTTCAGCTCCGCCCTGGCCCAGTTCTGGGATGGGGGGGGGCTCACCTGCAGCTTGCCCTGCAGCACCTTGTTCAGTTTGGCAATGGTGGCAGCCTGTGTGTCCATCCGCTCCTGGCTCTCAGTTGTCACTTTCTCCAGCTGAAGCTGCAGGTCAGAGCTGGATGGGGGGAGGGAGAGGGGACACAACGGGGCTGAGCAGGTAGAAAATCACAGTGCATCAAAACCCCTCATATCAGTGTCTCCAGTTGGGAAGGTCAACCTGTACCCACCAGCTCACTTTGGAGCAGCAGCAGGGCAAAAGGAAGAGCCCATGCCCCCATTACCAAATTCCATGTGAGCCCCTCCCCCCCCAAACCTCCCCAGTGCAGCCCCCCCTGGACTCACATCTCTGCCTGCAGCGCCCTGAACTTGCTCTGCTCCAACTGCTGGATGCGGGAGTTCAGCACAGAGAGGTCAGACACTACAGCCCTCAGCTCAGCTGCCTGCTCCATCAGACCATCCTCGGGCTCTGCGGGCGGGGGGCTGCTCAGCAGGGTGGTGGTGGGGGACTCGCTGGGGACGTGAGGGGCAGGGACAGTGTGATACCTGGGGGCTTTGGTGTGGACACAGCCCTATCCCTGGCAGATAGGCTCTCACCTCCAGTGCCTTCATCACCATCTGCAGAAGGGCAGAGTGCATGGGGAGGAGTCCAGGATGAGACCCCCCCCCTACAGCCTGGGGGGGTCTAAGACCAGCCCCACAACCTGGGGACCCCCAAAGCCTCACCTCTTCCTGACATGGCCTTCAAAACACTGCCTACAAAGGACCCCCTGGCATGGTGTGGTGTGTGGCAGGCGGGTGTGCGGCACACGGGGGTCCAAGCACTGCTGCGAGGGGTCCAGGGCCCTCGGGGGGTCCTCCAGCCTGGGGTCCAGGTCTTGCTCCTCGATGGGACCTTGTCATCATCATCCTATGGGAAGGAGGGGATGTAGTGCTGGGGGTGCTCCGATGGCACGTGCGCCCTCTGCCCCCATAAAAGGGTCCCACCTGCTGAAGCAGGGCAGCTCGCAGGCAGTCAGCCAGCTCCTGCAGCCTCGCCTTGCTCTCAGCAATGCCTGCTGAACACCAGGACACCCTGTCCCTCTTGAGCTGCAGGTCCTGCAGCTCCGCCTTGGTGCTCTCCAGCTCCTTTTGCAAGGCGGCTCGTTCCTCCCTGCAGGGGGGAAAACAATGCGAACAACTCATCCCAACCCTGAGGCAGGACAGGTTGGGACGGGACTTGATTTTCTTTGAGGCTTTTCTCCAACCTCAACGACCCTACATTCCCACCACGACCACCTCCACCCATGCCCCAAAGGGTACAAAACCTGCACTACTGAGTTCCCCAACCTGAATTACTGCCCTCAGCCAGAGCTGCTTTGCCTAAAGCTGTGCCCCCCTCCCCCCATGCACGCAATGGGACTGTTTGCCCAACCCCAAGGGCTCAAGTAGCAAGAGTAAGCACAAAGCCATACTGCAGGCCCTGGTGGGCTTCCAGCAGCTCCTCGTGCTGCAGGCTGCGCTCCTGCAGCTCAGACAGCGTGGATTGCAGCTTGGCTTCCACCTCCATCAGCTGCCTGCGGGACATGCGGTTCTCCTGGTCCAGAAACTGCAGGATAGGGTTAGAAGGAGGGGGACAACACACACAGCCATGAACACCCCCTGCACGATCCCATTTAATCAAGCCCCCCAAAAGCATGGGACGTACACGACACACACACACACAGCTGGGGGAATTATCCCGAGCATCACTGTGCGTGCAGCCCTACGTGCGGGCTGTCAGAGCCGCGGGCTGCTGGCTCTGCTGGCCGGCTGCCACCTACCAGTAGGGACATGTGACACCGTGCCACGTGCCATGCGCCCTGGCTCTTACCTCCCGGCACTCCGCTGCTTCCTGCAGCTCCCGGCGCTCCCGCTGCAGAGCATCCCTCTCCTTGGTCAGCCTGATGCCAAGGGATGGATGGGGATAAGCCATGGAGGTGGGGGGGAAACACCCCAAGAGATGGGGCTGGGGGTGTTGAGAGGGGATTTGATGGAGTAGGGTGAGGTGCCAGGGGTGCAGACCCACCGGTTCATCTTCTCCTTCTGCTCCTCGTAGTCCTGCTGCAGTGCGTCCTGCTCCTGCTGCAGGCTGGCCAGCTGCTTCATCACCGTGCTCAGGTCTGTAGGGGAAGAACCGTGAGCACGGAGACATCCCACACTCCACTGCCACCTCCCTACTATGCCCTTTCCCCTCCCCACTACCTGTGCTGAGGCGTGAGTTGGTGACTGCCAGCTGCTCCCCCTGGGCCACCGCATCCTGCAGAGCCTCCAGGGTCTCCTCCAGCTGCTGGGACACCTGCAGAGATGTGGGGTTAACCTAGAATATCCCGCACTCCAGAGAGGATTCATGTTCTCCATTCCCCATGTCCTCCATAGGACAGCCCCCACAAATCCCCTTCCATATCTGGAATCACTGAGGTGCACCGTGTGGCCCCATTACCTCCTTCTTGGCTTGGAGGGCTTCCTCCACCCGTTGCAGCGCAGCATCCCGCTCCTGCAGGCAGCTGTGCAGCTTGGTGGGGACGTCCCGCAGCGCAGTCATGCAGCGAGACACCAGGGCACGCACCTGCTCCCTCTACAAAGGGACAGGACAGCCCCAGGGTGAGCTGAGTGCTGGTGACATGGGTGGCACCCGGTGTTGGGACAGCCCTCACCTCTCCATCCAGCACTCCTCGCTCTTCCTGGAGGTTGGCAAAGGTCACGTCTATGAATTCCCGGAAAGGTTGAGCCTCTGCAGCCAGGGACACCTAGAGGAGAGGAAAGCAGGGAGTGTTCCCAGGGGGGTTGCTTGGAGCACAGCCCTAAGCCAGGGCTACGAACCCTGCAGGGTGTGGAGGACAGGCCATACCTGCTGCTGCACAGCAGCTGCCAGCAGCGTGCTCAGCTCCTGCTGCAGCTCCAGGCTCTGCGTGCGGGCACCAATCTGGGCAGCAGCATGGGAACGGAACGCCTCCAGGAAACCATCGCTCTGCAAAAAGGGGTGGCACAGCTCAGGGCACAACACCCCCCCCATCCCTGGGTGGGGACAGCAGTGTCCCCACGTGGGACACATTACCTCCTGCTTAGCACAGAGGGCTTCATCCGCTTGTTGCTGTGCAGCATCCCGTTCCTGCAGGCAACTCTGCAGCTTGGTGGGGACAGCGCGCAGCACCGCCTCGCACCGGGACACCATGGCACACACCTGCAGCCGCTGCAAAGGAACAGCAGCCCTCCTCCAGCTGCCATCTGCCACCTCCCTCACCCACATCCCCAGAGCCACCTCTGTGCCCCTGCTCTCACCTCCTGCTCCAGCGCTGCATGGTCATTCTTCATGCCCTGCAGAGCAGTGTCTGCAACATCCCACAGCGCACGGCGCTGCCCAGTCCATGCATCCTGAGGAAGGAATGATGAGGACACCGATGGCACTGGGGATGGCAGTGCCCAAATCCCATCCACCCCAACGCACCATTGCCTCTGCTGCTCGCATCAGCTGCTGTGCCAGCTCCTGCTCTGCTCCACGCTGCCGCTGCACAGCCTGCGCCTTCCTCTGCAGCTCCACGTAGAGGCCGTGGTAAATTCCCTCCTCCTAAAAGCAGGGCAGGATGTGTGCCCCAACAGCACTTCCACACCAGCACTCCAACCCCGTGCCATGCACCACGCTGATCCCAAGCCCTTCCTGCACGCAGTGGGATGCAGCTCTGCAGGAGGGGACGCTCACTCACCCCCTGGGGCCGGGTGACATCAGTCTGGGTGTGTGCATCCCTCTGCCCTGCTGGCCCCACAGCAGGGAGTGGGCGCTGGCAGTCCTGCCAGTCACGCAGCTGCAGTGAGAGGGCCTCAATGATGATCAGGGTGCTCTCCAGCCGCCCCTCCAGCTCTGCTCGTGGCAGCGAACGCAGCTGCTCCCGGGGACAGCTGTGGACAGAAGGAACCCTGGTTGTTGGGAATGGGACACGGCATGGGAGCCCATCCCCATACCCAGCAGGGACACGTACTGCCAGAGCAGAGAGTCGGTCTCAGCAGCGCTGTCCTTGGCACCAGCAGGCATGGAGGTGCCAGCACTCCTCTCCTCAGGGGTCATGGCGGTGCCCATAGATACAGTGAGCACTGGGGTGACACTGGTGCCCATAGCCACAGTGGGCACTGGGGTGACACTGGTGCCCATACAATTGGTGGGCACTGGGGTGACACTGGTGCCAATGGATCCAGTGGGTACTGGGGTGACATTGGTGGCAATGGATCCAGTGGATATTGGGGTGACATTGGTGCCAATGGATCCAGTGGGTACTGGGGTGACATTGGTGCCAATGGACCCAGTGGGTACTGGGGTGACACTGGTGCCTGTGGCCATGGTTGGCACTGGGGTGATGCTGCTCCCCACAGGTACAGCGGACACTGGGGTTACGGTGGTACCCATAGATATAGTGGGCACTGGGGTGACACCAGAACTGACAGCTGCAGTAGGCACTGGGGTGACATTGGTGCCAGCATCCCGCCACGACACAGACAGGGGGAGGCTGTGCCGCAGGGACTCCAGCAGGGATGAGGCAGGGAGGGTCTTCTCCAGCCACACCAGTGGCATTACCCAGGACACAGCCCCCAAGGATGGCTCAGACAAAGACACCGGAGTGGCTGCCACTGCTGACTCTACAGGCTCTGACTCCACTGCCTCCATCTGGGGGGAGTACTGCTCTGGTGTGGCAGAGCTGGGGGATCCAGCCACCCCCAAGGTGCTGTGATGTGGAGGAGTACCCACATCCCCATTCTCAGCCAAAGGTTGGGAAGCCACGGGGCTGCAGGAGAGATCAGGGGGAGCCGCTCGCCACCTGCGGAACGGAGTGTCCTGTGGGGTGGAGGTGCCTGGGGGGCCTGGGGAGGGGCTGCCAGGGGTGTCCAGGGTGCAGGGCCCCATGGAGGTGCTGCCATCAGGATCAGGAGTACGCAGCTCCAAAGGAGTGCTGCTGGGGTGGTCTGGAGAGGGAGGCAGTGGGGGGAGGAGGCTGGGGGAGAATGGGAAGGGCACTGGGGCACTGCCATGGGGCTCTTGGGGGGCCCTGCTGGGGGTCTCTGGGGGGCTGTCCTCTTGGGGAGCATCATCTGGGGGCACCAGGGTGTCAGGTCCTGAGGTGGAATCACCTGGGGGCTCTGGGGCATCTGTAACAAGGGTGGCATGGCCAGAGGGCTCCAAAACGCTGATGGGGCCCGGGGTGGCACTGCCCAAGGGCTTTAAGGGGGTGTTCAGGGGGCTGAGGTCAGCACTGCAGGGGGAGCACGGGACAGCAGTGCAGGGGAGCCCAGGGGCAATGCGGCCAGGGGGGCACCGGGAGCAGGGCACAGGAGTGCTGCCATCGTGGTCCTAGAGAATGGAGGGGAGAGGAATCAGGGCAGCCCCACGCCCTACCCCCGTACCCCCACCTACTTCCTCCAGTGCCCCATACCCCCCACAGACCCTATAACTGTCCTCTAGCCCATCCCCATACCCATATCCCACTCTCTAAACTCCACAACCTACCCCCCCATACCCTGAACTCCCCCCAGGTGCCCCCCAGCTCCCGTACGCTCCTTCCCTTCCCATCCTCCCCCTTTCCCCCCCGCACCGACCTTGAGCCGCAAGCGGCGGAGCAGCGGGGTGATGTTGGTACGCTCCGCTCCCTGCTGCAGCCGCAGCTCCTGCAGGGGCCGCCGTTGTGCCTGGGAAACGGGCACCGGGAGGGGGAGGGGGGGTCAGCACCGGAACCACCCCACCACCCCCCCCCGGCACGGACCGAACGGCGCAGCATCCAACCCTCCAACCGCCCCTAGAAACGCTACCAGGACTTCCAGCCACCCAGCGGAGCCGCCCCTACTGTCCACCGGACACTTGGTTCGGTAAATAGCGGCTACGGGACCGGGACCCCCGACACCAACCCCCCCCGTTCCCCGCACTCACGGCATTGCCGCGCACTCCCCGCATAGCCGCGCTCCCGCCGCGCCGCTCCCCGCCGCCCATTTGAAAACGACGCGCCGCTCTGATTGGCCCCGCACTGGGGGCGGGGCTACGTCTTTTGTGGGCGTGGTTTACGCGCGATGTGGGCGTGGCTTCTCAACGACCACGCCCACCTGCGCGGGAATTGGCGGCGTGCTGCGCAGCGCGGAGCTGGAAGGTTTGCGTTGGGTGCGGGGGGGCTCAGCTTTGTACGTTGCCCCCAGCCCCGCAGGAGACACCCACAGCATTACCGTCGGGTCTGGGTTTATTGTTCCCGTGGGAAGAGGTACAGAGGGAAGGGGGGTGTCCCTGAGTGGTGCGGGGGTCCCTCCGTGGTGCGGGGGTTCCTCCAGCGGAGGCTCAGCCAGGCCATGGCCGGTTCGGGGGGGCGGCAGTGAGGTCGCAGTCGAAGTCGTCAAAGGTGTCGGGATCGGGCAGAGGCTGCTCGCTGGGGCGTGGGGCCACAGCCAAGGCAACCGGGTCCTTTTGCAGCAGCTCGGCGTCGAAGGGCAGCCCCCGGAAAAAAGGGTGGCTCTGGAAGTGGTGGAGGTAACGCAGGCGGCGAAGGGGGTTGTGGCACAGCAGCTGGCAACAGAGGAAGGATGGTGAGCAATGAGGGGGGACAGCACTGGGGACACTCAGCCCAAGGGTTGGGGGTTACCTCAGCCAGCAGTCGGCCCAGCGCAGGGCTGAGCGCAGGGGGGCTCGCATAGCTGCTCTCTTTGACACGCTCCAGCATGGCCACGTGGTCCCTCGCTGGTGGCACTGGAAACTGAGGGGAGGGGGGGGGGCAAGGAGCAGGCTTAGGGACTCCATGCGGTACCCTAAGCCCATCATCACCCCACAGTGCTCACCTCCCCGCTGGCCAAGGCGAAGAGCAGCACACCCAGGGACCACCAGTCAGCTGCGTGGCTGTAGGGACCCCCACTCAGCACCTCTGGGGCTGCAGGGATGAGGAGATGAATGGGGTGTCTCCACCCATCCCCCCCTCAACCCCCATGCTGTCCCCTTACCCATGTACTGCAGAGTGCCACAGATGGTGTGTGCCCGCTCACCGCAGCGCAGGTGTCGGGAGAGGCCAAAGTCAGCGAGTTTGAGATGCCCTGGGGGGCAAAACAGTGCAAGAGGAGGGGCCCATGGAGGGGGTGATACCATGCACAGGGTGACCCTGTGGACGGGTTGTCCCCATCCACAGGATGTCCCCACATCAATGCCACCAGGCCCTCACCTCTCTCATCCAGGAGGATGTTTTCCATCTGAAATAAAACAAGCTCTGCGGTAGGTCCTCCATGCCAGGGGATGCAGAGACCCACCGTGCCTTTTTGTTCCCCCTCCTTGCTATCACTCACCTTCACATCTCTGTGCACAATGCCCAGGTCGTGGAGGTACACTGGGGACAAGATGGAGCTGTCAGAGATGGGATGTCCCCTCCTTACACCGTGCCCATTGCCACCCTTGGGGGCGGCTGAGTCCCCACTCACCCAGCACCAGGATCAGCTCAGCAGCAAACAGGCGGACGGTGGCCTCGGTGAAGCGCCCAGCAGCACGCCACAGGGCGTGCAGGTCCCCAGTGCTGCAGTAGGTGCACACTGCCAGGATGGGTCACACCACTCTTACCCAGGGCCACGCAGGCACCAAGGTGGAGCTGTATAGGTGGGGAGGTGGCACAAGGACTGGGATCTTCTGGGCACCAAAGCCATTTGGGCGCAGGGAGCTTGCAAGCATTGTGCCCAAAGTGATACAGGCACCAGGGATACACAGACCCTGTGGCCACATGGGCACAAAGATAGCACAAGCACTGCAAATGTTGCATGAAAGCAACACAAACATCACATACATGTGGGCATGAAAGTAGCATGAGAACTGTGGCTACATGGGCATGAAGGGGGCGCAACAGCGGACATATGGGCTCGAAAGTGGCACATGTACTGTGACTACACAGTCATGAAAGAGGCACAAGTGCTGTGGCCGTATGGGCATGAAGGTGACACAAGGACATGCCCACTTGCACTGCAAGCACATGGTCACAAAGATGGCACAAGCACTGTGGCTACACAGGCACCAAGATGACACGACCCCTGGGGCTCACAGACCTGCACAAACCCTATGGGCACAGCAGTGGCACAGAGCCACCAGAGGTGTGACAATGGCACGGTGGCCTTTTTCCCCATTGTCCCATTGCTGTCCCTGCAGTAGGTGAGGGCTGGGAGGCAGCAGCCCAGCATTGAGTCCCCGCGGGCAGCGTGCAGAACGTGCAGGGGGGGGAAAACACGTGTGCAGGCAGTGGGAACACGTGCACAGGCAGAGCAAGGGGGGGGCTGGGGGGAGCCTGCGGGCAGATGGTCACTCACTGATGAAGAGGTGGCGCTGGCCCTGCCAGCTGTCCCCAAGGCCGTGGACAAACGGGTGCCTGACCTGTCTCTGGGGATACAAAGCAGAGAGGGTGAGCGGCCCCTGGGATGGGGGGATCCCTCATTGTGCCCCATCCTCCCCCCTTCTCTCCCCTAACCTGGATGCTGACTTCTTCCTTGCACTGCTTAAGGGTGTCGCGGCGCAGCACCTCCACTTTGGGCATGACCTGGAAGAGGGATGTCAGGATGGGGGGGGTTCCCTGGGACTGCATGGAACCCCCAGGCCATGGGGCAGCACCCACCTTCACAGCGCAGACCTTCTCTCGCCCACAGTCCAAGACTTTTAGGATGGTACCGAAGGAGCCTTTGGCCACCAAGCCCAGGATCTGGGAGGAGGAGGGGGGACAGGAGCTGTACACCCTATGGAATGATGAGGAGTACATCCCCCCAGGGTGTGGGGTCCTGCGTGGGTGAGTGACAACAAGGCAGGCGGAGGAGGAGGGGGGGAGGAAATAAGGTCTTTGAGGCACGCAGTAGGGCACACGGGGGGACATAGAAGATGGGGACACGAAGGATGGGGACATCTCAGTGTGGGGCACACGGGGCGCAGAGGGAACGCACGGGGGGGACCCAGACGGAAGGAGAAAGGGACTCGGTGAGACGGTCGCAGACTGCTGTAAGGATGCACGGGGACCTCGTAGGGAGCGCAGAGACCTCGCTGAAAGGCACCGACCGCACGGGGACCCGAACAGGACGCTCGGAGATCCCGGTAGGATATAAACAGAGCAGGCACGGAGCGCGAGGGGACCCGTCGGGAGACACACGGGACGCGCGGACTCCCCGGTGAAGCAGAAGGATTCCCCGGTACGCTGCATCTGTCCCCGGACGGCACCTTGAGCTGCTGCTGCCGAGCGGAGGGGCGAACGGGGAACTCCGGCAGGAAGAGCGAGACGAGCTGCGGCAGCGGCCACCCCGGGAACGGCGGCTCCTCGGCGGCCACAGCGAGTCCCGTTACCGGCACCGGCCCCTGGACCGACCCGCTCCGGCGGAGCAGCGCCCGCACCCACGACCCCACGGCTCGGCCCTACGGAACCGGGGGCAAACCGTCAGCGAGCCGGGGTCAGACACCGGATAGGGGGACGCGGGGACGCCGTCGGGGCCACCTCACGCACCTGGGGGGGCCCCGGGCCGGACCCGCTGCTGGCTGCTCCCATCGCGCTGCCGCCCGGCCCGGCCCCGTTAATCGCCGCCTTACATAACCTCGCCCCGCCCCGCCCCGCCCCGACCCCCCCCCGGCACCGGGGCTCCGTGCGGTACCCACCCCCCATCCGCACCGGGCAGCAGGCACGAACTCCGAGCCCCCCCCCATCCCAGCCCCCGGTAGGAACTGGGGGTGCTCCCATCCGTTCCCCCCCCTTCCTTCCTTCGGGGCAACTTCCAAATTAACAGGGTGAAAGGGTCAGTGCAGCCCCCCCCAGCCCCATAAAGCTCCAGGCAGCGGGGTCATGCAGGAGCTGGATGAGGGCTGGGGGGAGCCCTTAAATGGGACGGGAGAACCCCATGGGATGTGCAGGGGGTGAACCCACACTGCCGAAGTGCTGCTGTGCTGAGAGCAGTGCGACGCATGTCGGGAGGGTAAATGACAACCCCTGGGACCGAGGCTGTTCCAAATTAAAAACTCTTATTTAAACTCTCTCCTGTTCCCCTTTCTCCCAGCCTGGAGCGATCCTGCTGCTTCACCGGGCCCTGGGGCCAGCACCCATGCAGCAGAGACCTGCGGGAGCTTTGGCACGGGGAGGGGCTGCACCCTACAAAGCGGCCCCGCAGCACGGCTGCTTCCAGGCCCCACAGCAATGGGGTTGTCCCCCACCTCGGGCATCAGCAGCACGGTCCCCACACTGCTATAGGGCTGCCCCTTCGGTATGAGGAGCACAGGGGACCCCAGTCTCTTCCCGGCCTGCCGGGTGCTGCCATCATTTGCGCCTGCCAAAGATGGACTTCTTGCTGGAGTTCTTCTCGCCCACACTCAGCCCGATGAGCAGACGTGCCTTCTCGTCCTCCTCTTGCTGCTGGATGGTCCCATCTGATTTGTTCTCCAGCTTCCCCCGTGCCTCTGCACCCGCTGCAGGCTTCAGGCGCAGCTTCTCTTTGATCACCTGCACCAGGAGCGGGGGCTCAGCACCATGGGGCTGCACCCAGCACCCTCGGCTTCTCACTAGGGCAAGCCTATCCCCATAGAGACTTTCTCCCCATAAAGGGAGGGGGGACAGCGCTGTCCCCATGTACCTGTGCCACCAAGGCTTTGCGGCTGTCCCTCTTCACCGCCATGGCAAAGTCCAGCCACGTCCAGGTATTGTTGTGGTACTCCAGGCAAGGCAGCACCAGGTTCAGGTCACCCCAATCCACGCTGTTCTTCTCGCCCTGAGTAGGGGAAAGGGGGGTCAGGCAGAGTGGCATGCTGCCCCCCATGCTCCCACATCCCGCTGGCCACTCACCTTGTAGCTGACACACAGTGGCACCTGCGGGATCTTGATGTAGATGAAGGAGTTGTTCATGGCCGCACGCTCCTTCATCTTGTCGATGTCATCCACGGGATGCTGGGGACAGAGATGCGAGCAGAAGGTGAAGACAGGAGACAGAGCCAGGAAGCAGTGGGGAGGGGACAGCCGGGCACTGGGCCACAGCATTGCTTCACCGGGAAGCAGCAGGAGCTGCTCTGGCACTGGGGATGCTGCAGGAATCATAGCAAGGTGCAGTGCAGGGATGTGAAGGATGTACATGCACATGGTGGAAGGGAGCAGGGATAAAAAGGAAGTAAGGCCAAAACACTGCACCCACAGCAGGGCTCTCCCTACTCCCCCCATAGGGCAGCAGCACGTACCTCGGGTGCTTTTCGGAATGATCTCCTGACCCCTGAGGTGCGATTCAGTCCCTGAGTGACCCCCTTCCCTGGGCCCAGTGAGTCGTCAGCCCCAATCAGCTGCCGTGGCTTCACCACAGGTATCCCTTGGGAGGGGGGAAGGAGGCAGTGGTTGGAGTCCAGCTGGGAATCAGCCATGACCCAGATCCCCCCTGGCTTTGTTGCTGCCCCCAGTAGCCCCCTACCCACCCAAGAGACCCCAGGTTCCTGTTCTTCAACATATCCCATCAGCAGCTCCCCAAAACCATCCAGACATGCAGCCAGAGCTGCTCAGAGAAGTCACTCGGGTGGCAGAAGGGTGATCAAACACTGCCACATCTCTCCCACCCCACTCACCTGTTGTCACCAGCTTGGACTTGTCTTCCTCATCCCCCACCTCCTCCTCCTCCACGTTGCGTCCGGGGAAGAAGAAACCCATCATCCTATGGAAGAACTGGTGGGTGAGCTGGATGGTGAGTGGGACCACGTTCACCTGCAGGGAGAGAGAGATGTGTCAGAGCTGGGTGAACTCTGTCCATGCCCTGACACCTCCCAGCACAGCCCCAGCACCTCGAAGTGCTCCTTGATGGAGATGCCTCCCACAGGCGGCCGGACTTTGCTGAAGATCCTCAGTGCCAGCTGGCGGCCGGACTGGCAGGAGCTCTGGGGACGCAGCACCACCTGCAGGGAGGAAAGTGGGTGACTGGAGTGAGGACAGCCACAGGGCCAGGTCACCAAAAGGTCCCCAAGGTGCGGAGCTGCTCCCCTTGCCTTGTACACAGCATTGGGTAGGAGGTTGTTCATCGTGACCCAGCCCAGCTCCAGCAGATGCTCAGCAGTGTCATCAGACTTGTTGACCTGCGCACACAGAATCATTAACCCCACACCTCCAGGCCCTCGCACAGGGGCTGCAGAGCCACCAGCCAGCTCAGTACCTTGCTGTAGAGGAAGCGCTGCAGCTCCAGCTCAGCTATGCCCAGCTGCCCATCCTCCTCCGTCAGGCGCCAGCGTGCCTGGGCAAAGTAGAACTCAGTCCGCCGTGCCACGCTCACATCCTCTGGCTGCTTTCGCAGCTCCATCTTGTTTGCTCGCTGCAGCTGGAAGTCCTTGAAGCACCTGCAGCAGATAGGGAAATGCTGGGACAGGGGAGTCCTAGAGAGAGAACAATACTATGGAAGCCAGAGATGGCCCATACCTGATCAGGATGTTCAGCTCCTCGCTCTCCAGCTGCAGGTCAGCTTTCTCCTGGCTCAGCTGCTGCTGTAGCTTGTGGTTGAGGTCGAGCAGGCTCTCATTTTTGCTGTCATCCTGCAGGGACTGGAAGACAGAAAGCCCTCAGCACCCTCCATCCCAAGGCAGGGATTCCAAGTCCTACCCTGAACATGGGCTCACCTTCACGTTGGAGTACATCTGCTTCTCCAGCTGTCGAATCTGTGCAACGTGCTGCCTCACAGCTTCTTGCAGGTGTAGGATACTGCTGCGTTGCTCCTCAGGGTTGCTGGAGATTTCCAACTGGAAGCGCACCCGCTGCTTCTTCTCACTGTGCTCCTATACACAAGGATAGGGGAAATGAAGGGGTGCCCTGGATGCAGGCACACGACAAGGGGACTTGCAGCTTTGTGAATACCTTGCGTTTGGGCTCCACATGCAGCAGCAGGTTGTTAACTATGTCAAGGATCATTGCATACTGTGCAGGGTTCGTGGAGATCTCCAGGTCGTGGTGAATGAGTGTGAATGTGTCCACAGCTCCTACAGGGACACAAGAAGGACACTTGGGGCCCTTCTGATTTCAGCAGGTACAAGATGGATCACCCCTGGACTCAGTAGACACTTGTGGGTCATCCCAAAACTCTGCTGAGACACACGACGTGCATGTACCCACCCTCCTGCTTCTTTAACAGATCCTCCTTCTCCTGATTTGCAGGAGTCTCGGGGGGTTTTATCTGTGTGGCCAGCTCAGGGTCAATGTCATGGCTGTAGCTGATATAGTACATCCGGCAGCTGCAGCGAGAGATGATCCTCTGCACCTGCTGGGTCTGCTGGGCTTCTGAGGGCTGGTTCCAGTCTGGGGACAAACAGGAAGGGGGACTGAAGTCAGAAGGCCACACCAGAGACCTCTCAAGCACAGGGTTTGGAGCTGGCTCTGCTCTTGGAGCCATCTCAGCTTTGCCAACCTCAGGGTTACATGCAAGCAGAGTTGGGTAGCGTGGTGCCCAGCTCCTCAAGCCGTACCTGTGGTGGTGCTGACCATGCCTCCCACAGCCTGCCCACTCTCCATCAGCTCCTGCACTGAGTCCAGGCTCCGCTGCCGATGCTCCTCAATATTTTTCACCTAGGAAGGCAAAGATGCATTGGTGGCTGTCCTCCTTGCAGCTCATCCGCCATGCCCAACCCCAGCCTCTCACCTCCAGCCAGAGCTGCCCATGCTCCCTCTCTGTGGGACTGCTTTCAGTTGTGGCAAAGTACTGCATGCCATCCAGCAAGCACGTCCAAGATGTCTTCTGCTTCAGGGTGTCCCCATACCAGGCAGGGTGGTGCTGGCACTGCAGCAGTTGAGCCTTTGCAGCAGACACAATCACACAGCCCTCTGTCTCCGCACCACGCAGCACCATCTGTGGGATTAAAAGAGACCCGAGAGGGTCAAGACCAGCCATGGCCCCTCTGACCACAAGGCCACAGGGGAGCAGAGGCTGGTCAGGAGTTGGTACCTGGCAGTTGACCAGCTCAATGAGGCAGTTGCGGTTGTAGATGTCATCAGTCTGGCAGGCAGCAATGCCACACAGCTGCTCACTAGCTCCTGATTCCTCCTCTGTGAAGACCACAAACTTATCTGTCTCCTCAATGAGCTTCTGCAACATGTAGGCTCCTAGGGAAGGAGAAAAAAAAAAAAATCAGTACAAGGTTGAGGGTATGAAGGTTGGAGAAGCTCTAGGCTAGCACGTGCTGCCAGGCTCGTACAGGTTTTCAATCCCTGCCACACTCACCTCCAGAGGAAGCTCTTTCAGGACGGCCACTGGTGATGGGAGCAGTCACTTTGGCAGGGACAGAATGAGCAGAGAGTGGGCCTCGCTTCAGCTTCTTGGCTTGCAGCTGTGTGTCAATCTTCAGCCCCTTCAGAGCCTCGGTGGATAGATTGCGTTTGAGCACAGCTGCTTTCTTGTAGCCATCATACAGACCAAAGGCAATGTCCCGGTTTGTGGTGGTCCAGGATGCTCGCAGGTCCACCAGATGCAGCTGGTGTGTGTGGAAACCATCATCCCCATCCCGGAGGGGCAGCTCCTGGGCACAAGGATCAGAGACTCAGCACAGCAAAAC